CTCAAATAACTAGGCTAAATCGGGCCGATTCGAGGGCTTCGCCCGCTATTATTTCCCGATTCTTTAAGTGTCAGTGTGACGGCTTGAAAATTGAGAAGATGTAAACCCATTTCCAAAACATTTTTTCATAAAATTATCTCCCAAATTTTTGAATTTAGTGCAATCAGTCAAAAATTTTTTTTTAAGTTATGAATTTTAGTAACACAATCTAATTAGGAAAAAAGGGTTTAACAAAACACATAATTCTCATTGTTTATTCAATCCAATGATACCCCCCAAAATTTTAACAAAACAGTATGTCACTTACGTGACAAAAAAAAAAAAAAATCGATTTCAAAAACCCTAGAGTCCGAAGTCAATATAGTTATTGTATAGGAGTGTGGAGAAAGGAAAAAGTTGTGAAAAAGGGGATGGGGGGTGGTTTAGGTACAATGGAAAGGGGTCCCAAATGTGGTCGATGTGCCACCCGTCAAAATTTAAACTTGGCAACAAAAAGAAATCAAATAAAAATGCCGTAAATTCAAAAAATTCCAATGCTAATGTATTCCACACGGGAACATCTTTGAAGTCAATCATTTTTAAAAATTTTTCGTGGGGGAAAAGGGGGGCAGTAAATTAATTTCGCGGTTGGCAACAATCTTCTGGGCAACTGCGCCCTTGCGAAAATAGCGAAGCCAAAAACGCGAGTAGTCGCGCATTAAAACTCCCCCGCCATTGTTGCTGACGTTGAATTGTTTGGCTTGTTTAAAAAGGGGGTTCTCTAGTCATGTTTTCTTAAATTTATGTGTAATATTCTCATTGACAACGTAAAACACCACGACGGTTGGTTTGACAAATTTTTAAAAACTCAGTAGGGATGGTTTCGAATCGCAGGTGAGTCTTGTTCGAGGAACATGAGCACTGAAAGTCGCGAGGTGGAGCGATGGGGTCATCGTGCAAACTAAATAAAAAGAAACATCAAACAATGTTCCGCGCATAGAAAAGACTTTCCCTTTAAAAAATTTTCATCAGGCAGTCCCAATGAAAAGACTGGCCCAAAAAAACCCCTCTTGTGCTATTTTACATCTGTTCTATCACGGTCGCGGAAATTTTTTTATTCGAACGTCCTTTTTCAAAGCAGCGACCGTTTTGGGGTAACCTGTACACAAGCGAAAAGGAGCCATGCTATTGGTTGGGTTTGGCTCGGCTCCCACCTCTCTCTTCCCTTTTCGTTGACGAGTCGAGCTTTGCTATGGAAACAGTGATTTTGACGGCAATTTTCTCAAAATTTATCGCTAAGATTTCAACCATATTCCAGAATTGAAATCACGTCTCAGAATTCTACCAGTCTGCAAAATCTCATCAAAATCGTACAGAGAGGTTTCGACTTGCATAAGGGGCCACGCGATCAAATCCCAGCGAGGCTGAATCCTGGGGGATACTATAAGGCTACTTCGTGCCTAAAAAATGAATCTAATTTTGGCAAAACTCATACTTTAAACCAAAACATAACTACAAGGTAGGTTTACGCCAGACCGCGTCTTGTCGTAACAGGCTTCGCGATGTCTCGCTGCCTGTTCCTCCAATCCGCGCCTGGCGTACCTACCTTGGCCTGCGGCGCTAGCCTCCCTTTCGGCAGGCAATGGCTTGTCCATCGTCGGTTACTTCTAATTTGATGCGGCTGGGGGCTCCGCCCCCCAGACCCCCCTTCATTCTAGATCCCTTGTAACTTTTTAACTTGTCGGGCTGGGGGGCTCCGCCCCCAGACCCCCCTTCTTCAAGACAGAAGTGATCTGCCTGCAGAAAACTCGATTTTTCGCCGTTTTTTAGGTGTTTTTCGGCTATAAAAACTGAACCAGTTGAGCTAGAATAGTGAAATTTCGCGTGTGCCGAGCCAAGGACATGCCCAAAAAGTGTGCAAAATCTCACCGAGATCGGCCGAGCCGTTCAGGAGGAGTAGTGCGGACACACATACAGACAGACGGACAGACAGACAGACAGACAGGAAAAACTTTTCAACCCCAATGGAGTAACAGGCTTCGCTATCGCTCAGCCAACAATCCAACATTCATTCCAATTTAGATTTCTTCATAACACTGTCATCTTCATCACCACCGGTGCCGACATCACTGCCACTTCTTTTCCCGCCAGTGCCCCATCCTCGTTCCGACTATTCAATTAAACGAATGAGTTCCAACTTTTCTGATCAAGAGCTGAAACAAACAACAAAAAATTAATTAACAGATACAACAAATGGATGGCAAATAAAACCAGATCTTGTCAAAACACTTACGTTCATCATGTTCGTGGATGCAGAGTTCATTGGAACTTCCAATACATCCATAAAAAATTATTCTGATGTTATTTCCTTCTTGTATTTCAGTATTAAGCCTATCAACATAGGCATCATCCTTATTGTCGTATTGTTTTGGCAGATATGTATAAAACTTAATTTTGAAGTCAGTATAAAAGGCAATCAACTTATACACATTATTGCCGTATTAATCTTTGAACAATGACAGATCCTTAATAAGCTTGTCAATCTTATACTCCTTCCCTCGGAGCAAAACAGTAGGTTTCCTCGGCTTCAGACCTTCTTTCCATGCCAAATGGAAAGTAGAAGAAGCCATAACTGCAAATACAGATACCAAATAATAAATAAGGTACAAGGCCAAACAACTTATTCAAATCATCAAAATCTATTCGTCAGCAATATGTGCTACTGTAGCTGTGATATCAATTGTTGATTGGCTGAGCGATAGCGAAGCCTGTGCGTCCAGTGGGGGTGAAAAACTTTTTCTGTCTGTCTGTCTGTCCGTGTGTGTACACTACTCCTCCTGAACGGCTCGCCCGATCTGGCTGAGATTTTGCAGGCTCATTAGGTATGTTCTTGGCTCGGCACACGCAAAATTGCATTTTCCTAGCTCAACTGGTTCGGTTTTTATAGCCGAAAAACACCTAAAAAATGGCGAAAAATCGAGTTTCCTGCAGGTAGATCTCTCCTGTCTTGACGAAAGGGGGGTCTGGGGGGCGGAGCCCCCAACCTGACAAGTTGAAAAGTTACAAGGGTCAAGGTCGTGTAATTTGTAGATGAAGCAACTCTTTATAGAGTGAAGGGGGGTCTGGGGGGCGGAGCCCCCCAACATGCAACAAATCAGAAGTAACTGTTTGTGCAGGCAAGCATTGCCTGCCGAAGGCAGGCTAGCGCCGCAGGCCAAGGTAGGTACGCCAGGCGCGGATTGGACGAACAGGCCGCGAGACATCGCGAAGCCTGTTACGACAAGACGCGGTCTGGCGTAAACCTACCTTGTTTAACTGACTGACAGAGTTTCGAAACACAAACAACAGAGATTCATATTGCATGTTCAAACATGCTGACTGAGTACCATGAAAACAAATATAGGTGCGGAATAGCTAATCAAGAACGCTGCTTAACCGACAAACATCAAGAGAAAACTTCGAACATACTACATTGTAACAGCATTAGCAAAAGATACACGGCTCCGAAACTATACATCCGAACTGACAACCAAGCGTCGGCGACACGCGTCGCGCATGAAAGCTTTCTAATACAATTCTGTAGCGATAACCGCCACGCCAAGCAAGCAATCAAACTTGCACTAAATCAACTTTCGCAGTGTCAATCATTAATAAGACAAGGTAGGTTTACGCCAGACCGCGTCTTGTCGTAATAGGCTTCGCGATGTGTCGCTGCCTGTTTCTCCAATCCGCGCCTGGCGTACCTACCTTGGCCTGCGGCGCTAGGCTGCCTTCGGCAGACAATGCTTCTCCATCATCAGTTACTTCTGAACTGTTGCATGCTGGGGGGCTCCGCTCCCAAGACCCCCTTCATTCTACATAGAGGTGCTTCATCTACAAATTACACGATCTTGACCCTTGTAACTTTTCAACTTGTCGTGGCTAGGGAGCTCCGCCCCCAGACCCCCCCTTTCATCCAGACAGGAGAGGTCTACCGACAGAAAACTCGATTTTTCGCCGTTTTTTAGGTGTTTTTCGGCTATAAAAACTGAACCAGTTGAGCTAGGATGGTGAAATTTCGCGTGTGCCGAGCCAAGAACATACCTAATAACCCTGCGAAATCTCAGCCAGATCGGCCGAGCCGTTCAGGAGGAGTAGTGTACACACACACAGACAGACAAAACTTTTCAACCGCACTGGAGGAACAGGCTTCGCTATCGCTCAGCCAATAATTCAATGAGAAGTGTACTTGTTATCACTTATGACCACTGATCAAAATCAACGAATCTACTGGTTCGCAATGCCTGCAAAGAACACGACATGAACACTTGTGGGCACACATTAATACATACCTTTGACTTGTTTGCTCCTGAATCAAGATGAATAAGACACAATTGAACTTCACGCAATTCGATGCAATTGGATTAACAATTGGATTAAAAAGAAGCTGAACACGTTGCTAGATTCAATTGGACAGATCACAGCTAAACACCAGTGAACGCGCTGACACGAGATGGCAAAGTGTCATGCCTTGACGAGAAGGCCTGATGCTCCCGCAACGTCAATTACTAGACACCTAGACCACAAAGGGTAGTATGGCAATTGGTAGGTGGGCAAGTATTGAATGTAGCCAGGAACATACAGAGCATATGGTTGATCTTGCTTCTCTCCTCCTCCTTCTTCTTTTATATCTACCAATGCTTCAAGAGCTTCAGTCTCACTTTTCTTGAAGAAATCATAAAATGGAGACTGTTTGTGGAGAACTGTTAATTAATTGTTCTTCAAAAGAACTTTCATTTCAATTGGGAGTCCCTCCCGATCCCGTGTCTGGCATTGTTGGCATTGTGTTGAGTCTAGAGCAGAGCACAGGGAATGACCTCGATGCCATCAGGAGGGAGCTGCACGTTCCTATGTTTCTCCCGTTGTGCCATTGACTTCCGGTCTGGATTTCCTCTGAAGTACCCTATTGACATTTGATGCCGCTGGCTCCCTGCAAAGGTAAATCACCAACTGGCTCATGGCGTTGTCGCCAGGCCGACTGCGGGACTGAAGAAGAGGGGGGGGGGGACTGGGATGCAGGAGGGAATGGCAGAGATGAAAGAGGTAGCTGAAGGGGTAGAGGGAGGTGGAGTTGAAAGGGAAGAAGATGGAGGAGGTTTTCACTGCCAACTGTTGGTCGGGGCATTATTTATGCCCTTGACTCACAGTTGTTTCGACCTCGGACTGAAATGTGGCACAAGTGCGACGATAGACCTATCACATCATGTTTGGAAGTAGAATAATAACAAGGTAGGTGTACGCAAGGCAGTGGCTTGTCGTCATAGGCTTCGCGATTTTGCGCCAGTTCCGCGTTTACTCCTTCCTTGGCCTGCGGCGCTGACCTGCCTTCGGCAGACTCTATCGCCATACATCACCGCAAGAAGAAACCTGATCGCACGTTAAAGCATCATTCGGTTCTAGCCTTAATGCTTTCCTTTATGGAATTTTAGTTTGACACCCCTTAAATTCAGGCCAACTTTTGTCCCATTACGACTCCCACCTGGGTCAGAGGTCGAAATAGACTCTATTTTTATTCGCAGCACCTTCCTAAACACATGAAATGATGTAAAACTTAACATGACAACATATGTTAGTAAATATTTATTTTAATGGCTGCAATGACCACATGGATTAAGATGGAAAGCTGCATTTTGGTGTGTGGCGAGCCAAGGACGTACCTAATGACCCTGCAAAATCTCAGCCAGATGGGCTGAGCCGTGCAGGAGTAGTGCACACATGCACCCACGCAGACTAAAAGTTTTTTAACCCCACTGACGTAACGGGCTTCGCTATCGCTCAGCCAATACTAATTTTGCCACCATTAATGTGATAAGTCTACTTTGTGCCCCAGTTTGGTGGGCTGAAGGATGTAAGATATGCGTGGACCAACGGTTAGCAGATCACATCAAATACTTACATCGCCAGAGGGTTGATCCACCTCCATTAACCTCTCCGGCCCCTGCTGCCTGACTGGCGGACAGTTGTATTGGATCGCATCATCATCAGGGAAAGGGATCGGGCATCTTCTTCTGGGGGGGGGGGGCTGAGGGGGAGTGCGATGCTGCTTCTGCTATAGCAAGCTATAGCTATAGCTTGGCCACCGTCGCGACCACTATTTTCACAATGTCTTCCTTCTCCGCTTCTTTCTTCCTTGCTTCCTCTTCCATCTTCCTCCCTTCTTCTTCTTCCTCCATCTTCTTACTCTTCCGCTCCACCTCCTTCATCTCCGCCGATTCCCTCTTCAATGTATTTAGCTCCGCTCGATGTTCATCAAGCTTCTTCCACGTAGCGTCAACATGAAGTTCACAATGGCAAGAGCAAAAGTAGGTGCTTGTGCTGGCGCTCGCACTAGCCCGGCGGCGCTCCGCCTGCCCTGCTCTTGAGCGTCTAGATTCTGACGACATGTTGATTTGGCTGCAACAGAAAAACAATGGAGCTGTTGATTTTCTCCTTTGCTGCTTAGAATCGAGTAAAATAGTTTGGTGTAATGATGCAAACCATCCTGCGACTCAATAATCAAATATAAACTCTATGTGGAGATAAATGTAGATATTCCATTCTTCCGCTACATGGATAAAATATTTCTCACTCTTTTGTGGTAAGAATCAAAATTCTTACCAAATTTTAGGCTAAATTGTTCTACTTCCCAGTATTACGTGGGGAAACATTCTCATCAACACATGTCAAGAATTTTGATTGTCAGAATGGTGAGAATTTTTACTTTCACCACGCTGAGGTGAAAATCTTTTTTCTATGACCTCTAGAGTGACTTAATTTATCGCCTTCAAGTTTGCAGTGAATCATTAACAAAATATGGCCACGCAAGGGGAAATAACTCTCCAAAAATGCATACTCCAAAATTCGTTAACACCCACTGTCACCAAGTTACAGTCTTGCTAAATTCACATAGTTGAAGAAATTCTTTTCATAATTCTTCAAAATTTATTGAAGTCAAAACCAACGTTTGTCGCTAGCAGGTCGCAGTTCATTGAAATTCATACAAAGTTCATGCAATTCAAAACTCTGTACCCCAAAATTTGTAGTCATTCCCCCTTGAAATGTGAAAATAAAAAAAAAAATAATCATATGGATTTATGGAAACCCAGACTAAAAACAAGACAAAACTACTTCTGCTAAGACAAAGTCCATGAGGCTTGCTTCATAAAGTACACCAGGGGCATCAAGAGAGGATGACCCAGAGGTAGGGTGGTCCAAAAAAAAATGAAGTTGCTCGGATCGTCCAACGCCGCCCGGATTTGGATTCTACAACGAAAAATATGAAACACGTGTTTTTTCCTTTTTCGAAAAAATGATTTTTAGGACCTCCGCAGAGCCCCCAAAGTTTTTAACAGTGCTATTAATAGGAAAAAATCGTAACTTGGTCATTTTTTGACCGATTTTCAAAAACGAAACGGGGATTTGTTCGTTTTTTAATGCTTGTTACGAAAAAAATATGCCCAACCCTCTTTTTGGTTTGCCTAACTTTTAGGGGCAAAAAAAGACTAAATTTCGGCCCAAATTGGCAAGAGTTTCAGTTTGTAGGCCGCTACAGCCACTCTAAGTCCACCCTGTCAGCATGGCGGGGTGGCCCCACCACAAGGCAAGCCCCATGAACAGAATTAGGATGCCGAGTGCAATTTGCCTATCTCCCAGGGGCATCAAATATTGGATTTTTTCGAAAATCTATCCATAGTGATGTCTCTTGGGGCCTCTGGGCACTCAGATGGGCACCCTTTCACACGGTTTGGTACCCATACTTCGTGATATGAACGTTATGGACGTTGCTGACGCGAGGGACCGCAAACCACGCAAGGCCACAAGAAAAGCCATCAAAATGAAGGAATTTTCTAAATTTTCACGTTTTTCTGGTCCTGAGAGGTAGGCATGAGGTGCTCAACAGTCCATTCCTGTTGTTTGTTCTTATCACGTAGTGCGGGTACCGAACCGTGTGAAAGGGTGCCCATCTGAGTGTCCAGAAGCCCCAAGAGACATCACTATTGATAGATTTTCGAAAAAAATCCACAGTTTGATGCCCCTGGGAGGTAGGCAAATTGCACCCGGCATCCCAATTCTGTTCATGGGGCTTGCCTAGTGGTGGGGGCACCCCGCCATGCTGACAGGCTGGACTTGGAGTGGCTGTAGCGGCCTACAAACTGAAACTCTTGCCAATTTGGGCCGAAATTTAGTCATTTTTTGCCCCTGAAAGTTAGGCAAACCAAAAAGAGGGTTGGGCATATTTTTTTTCGTAATAAGCATTAAAAAACGAACAAATCCCAGTTTCGTTTTTGAAAATCGGTCAAAAAATGACCAAGTTACGATTTTTTCCTTTTAATCCCGGGTGGAAGGATCTTTAGTTAAACTGTAGTTTCAACTACAGTACCAAAACTGCAGTTCCCGAACTAAAGTTAGTTTTAAAAAGAAACTGAAGACTAAATACAATTCCACTTTGCAGTTGAAATTGTAGTTTTCTGTCAGTTCACAATGTAGTTTTAGTGTTGATTTGAAGTTCAGTTGGAGGTTCAGTTTAAGTTTCAGTTACAATTTACTTAATATCCATTTCTGGAAGTAAAGCGACTGCTGAAAATAAATATTCAAAAACTGTCTCTCATCTAGTATGTTTCCGTACTTAGTATATATTTTAAACATATTCTCTTATCGACATACTAACGTTGATAGTTATGTCTCAAAACTAGTACGTTTCCATACTTCTTATGCAATCTTCTAGTTGTATCAAGTAAAAGTTACATACCACTAGGGGAACTCAAAATTACAGTGGCTGCTTCATTGCTTTTAAAGCAGTTGAGGTTTACGTTGAATTTTTTGTCGTCTCCCTTTAAAAAAAGTATCAGGTTAAAAGCAAACGTTTATGGTTTATAGCTAATACAGTTGGCTTTACTTTATATGGTATAGTTGTTCGCTGTTTAAAAATTTATGCAAGTTTCCCCTTTTTTAAAGTTAGCCTCCCTAAAGAGACAAAGTAACCTTAAGTCTGCGACAAGTTTACGTAAACTGACTTGTCGCAAAGGTCCAAAATATTTTGCGCTTACATTTTTTATACTGACAGTTTAAAATTAAAATTGGTCATAAAATGCAAGTTTGTCATGAAGAGGACTACAACTTTACATAGGATTACTCTAAAATTGCTTGTAGTTTAAAAGATGTAGAAAAATTCTTAGTTTTGATTTTTTTTTATTAAATCTAAATCAAAGTAATTCTGTTAAGTCCTTCATATACCCTTTTTAAAATAAACATAATATTACATGCTAGTTGTATTAAATAACACTTTCGTTGAGTGAAGTTGGAGCAAAGCATATTGACTACCGCGAAAATGGACACTTAGTGCATCATCCGCTAGGTGGCGCTAGTGTCGCATCATTTACGTCTTCGAGTTAAAAGTGTTCTTGCAGCCGATCAGGGGAATATTTTTGGATCAAACTCTGTGCAGGGCAAATATTTGAGATGCTATGACTCTACCACAAAAGGATTGACCTCGATAGGTGGAATATTAGGGAAATAACTTTGAGTACAACTTTCCTCTCGCGTACGGCTACGGGTCGTAGTTTGGTTAGGCTCCGATCGCTGTGCCCTCAAGTGCATTAGTCCTCGATGCGAAGTATATATTTTACGAGCGATCAACTCCGAGAGGAGGTGACTCCACTCACACCTTAGGTTGAAATCACCTAGGGTGGCAAAATGAAATCAGGGCTGAGGCTCTATTTTGAATTTTCACTCTCTTTTCGGAAACTGAACCCCAACTACTCTCTTTCTAGTTATTTCAAATGGCTTTTAAGTTGTTCGAAACTAAGGTTGAACTGCAGTTTGACTGCAGTTTAACTAGCACGAAAATGAGGGAGAAACTATAGTTGTTCCAAATAACTGGTAGTTTTTGCATAGTTAAACTGCAGTTTTACTGCAGTTGACTACAGTTTAACTACAATTTTTTTTCTCTTAAAAGTTACTTTTAACTTCTTGATTTTTTAATTTTTTTTCACTTAAAACAATACATTTTACAACAGAAAAACTCCTGTTTTGTCATATAGTTTTAACTGCAGATCCTTCCACCCGGGATAGCACTGTTAAAAACTTTGAGGGCTCTGCGGAGGTCCTAAAAATCATTTTTTCGAAAAAGGAAAAAACACGTGTTTCATATTTTTGGATGTGGAATCCAAATCCGGGCGGCGTTGGACGATCCGAGCAACTTCATTTTTTTTTGGACCACCCTAACCCACACCTGTCATTTTACGTCACGTCAATTTTAAATCCAATGTCCGGCAAGGGAGCCAGGGATCCTTAACTTACCTCATAAGGGCGTCATAACGTTATCGTAACAGTTAAAGTTATCAACCTTAACGTCTGACATCTTTTCAAAAGGGGTAAGTAATTTTTTTGTGTTTTGAATTTGTGTAGAGATACTTTTGGAAGTTTTTCCAAAAGTTCGTACCCTTAACCTTTAGCGAACATTGTCTTATGTTACGTTATGAAAGCAGTGTTTGTTAAATGTTAAGTTAAGTTAAGGATCTCTGAAGGAAGCCTGCTGAAAGCAGGCCAGCGCCGCAGGCCAAGGTAGGCATAAACGCGCGTGGAATGTCGGGAGTGGCGCAGCCTAGCGAAGCCTGTTGCTGCAAGTCACGGTCTGCCAGTGTGGCATACGTACACCCACCTTGTGTTAAGAAAAGTTGATGTTCAAGAATACGACCGTTCTGTGAAATGAGACAACTTCACTAGAGTGACGTTATAATTTTTTATAAATTTTAAAGTTTGACTTGGGTTTCCAAATCACATCGCGGTGTCAAGCTCAAAACGTTAAGTTAGGTGGAGGATTTCAAAATTTCAACGTTATGTCGGGGCTGGCAATAAGCTCACCATATCGCCGTAGTTGAAAGAGACGTCCATCAGAAGCGGAGTGGAGATAGAGCTGTAGAAGTCTTCCAATTGTTGGGCTGCGTCTTTACCCTCGTAGATTATATGAGCTTTGCCTGTAAAAATGCGATTAAATCAGAAAACTATGTTAGGGCACTCAGCCGACTTTCAAACCTTTTTCTCTGCAGCGTTAAGTGTGAACCTTGATGCGCACACAGTGAAAATTTGTTGTCACTTCATGACAAAAACGTGGATGATATTTTCATCACGAAGAAATTATGACAATGTCGACACAAATTAATGACATTTTCATCAAAGCTCCTATACTTATTGCATGGGTGTGACAACAATGTCATCAATTATTTTGAAGACATCGTTGTAAGGAAAATAAACAATGTCATCAATTATTTTGAAGACATCGTTGTAAGGAAAATAAGCCTTGAAAATGTCATCAAGTGACGACTCAAATTTTCTCAGTGCAGGGAAAACAATCCAAATGGGTTTGAGACGCTGCCCTGCCATTACCTCCATTCCCGTGGGCCAAGCTGTGAAGGAAATTGAAATCTGCGCCCCGGCCGAAAGCGAGACTGTAGATGTTGGTGTTTACGTTCGCTGCTTTTACGTTGGCCAGGATTGTAGACGACGATGCATCCGTTGCTTGTCCATCCGTAAGCACTACCAATCAGCGGGTGGAAACTCTGTTGCCAAAAACGGCATGCAAAGGTTTTTTGTGCAGCTTAGATCTCGGAACCCAGAGGTGGGAGGTGAAATCCGAGGTCATATTTGGAATCCTCATAAAATTTCACTCGGCGTAGGACATGTTTAGTGCCAGGGCCAAAGGAAATGGTCACTCATTTTTCCATGAGAAAGTAAAAAAACAGGTGAAAAACGCTCTGGGACCAGGATAGAAATTTACGCTTTATCCCGAAAATTGCTATTTGGTCATGCTTAATGTGAGACAACGGTAAGGCCAATTCAAATTCTGAGTACAGATATGAATTCAGCGTGCTTTCGTGTGTGCATTCCACCTATAGGTTTCAAAGAAGGAGGGCCTGTACCCTTTAGAACACGCAGTCAACGGCAGACTGTTTTGTAATTTTATGCAATACAATCGCTGCATACCCTCTCTTAGTTTCACGGCAACGGTTCTCTGTTATTTTGGTGTGTTGACGACTCCCAGGCAGCGTAATGCACAGGAAATTTCCTCAGGATTCAGAATATGACCTCAGAATTTACCTACAAGGTCCCGTTCTCTTGCATTAAGTGTTACCACAAAACAATGCAACGTTTCGATCATGGTCCCACAGCGTTTTTTCTCCTTTTTTTTCTTTTTCTCATTGCAACATGACCGACCATTTCCTTGACCTCCCGCTCCAAACATACCCTACGCCGAGTGAAATTTTATGAGGATTCCAAATATGACCTCGGATTTTACCTACCACCTCTGGGTTCCGAGATCTAAGGTGCACAAAAAACCTTTGCATGTCTTTTTCGGCAATAGAGTTTCCACCCGCTGTACCAATATAGGATCCAACTTGCTCTGAAGGCTGGTACACTTCAAAGCCTTCTGGAGTGCTGCGTTCAGGCTCGTGCCTGCATCACATTGAAGAAAGCATGTAAACCATTCTATAAGAAAACTCTATTCGAGACAAGCCAAATCGTTCCATTCTTTCTTTTGTGTCAAATTGGGAATTAACTCTCTAATTGCTTGTTGCAGGCCATGTCCAGGATGGATTGTCACAACCAAAGGCAGAGGAAGTGACTGTAGACATGGACAGGCCAGTACCTCATCACCGAAGCTACACAGTAAAAAAAGATTCGCCGATTCGGTGACGTCTGGGCGCCAAAACGAGAATATTACAAGAACAGCGACAACCTCAAACTGTTCTGGCGGCCCTCTGTTTGTTTCGGCGACGCTCGGTCTAGTTTCGGTGGCGCTCGGTCCATTCCGGAGCAGCCACCTCACCAGAACGGCACTGCAGTAACCCTCCCGCCAGCGACTTTTAATCGTCGTATTAATGTGAAATAGGACACAAAACAAGTCAGGGGCTGTCAGTAATCATTCGCGTGACTCATAAAAGCGTAACGTTGCCGGCGGGCACGCACAAATATGCACAGACAGCTCAAAAACAGTTGTTGTGGTCATCCTAACCTCTCTGGCGGAACACCACCTAGTGACGCAGGTCACCGTTTTGGTGACGGACCGTCGCCGGGTTTGTATGGGTACCCGTTTTCGGTGAGATTGGATATAGAACGACCAAAACAGCGAATCTTTTTTTACTGTGTACGGCAGGCACAAGACAGACGCTTGCTTCGGAGGAAAATTTTGAAACGTTCCATACGATTTAATGGACGCGGCAAGAGTTGCAAGAAATAACGAGCGCAGTGTCCTCGATCCTGGAAACATTTCTCACGATTACTTACCTCCTCCAGCTTGCATCGCCCTAGCCTTAGACAGTGCTGCTGAAATCCGATCCGAAGTGGCTTGGTAAGTGTGACAGTTCAGCGTATCAGTTCCATCCAAATCCCATATCTGTAATGCAGTTTCGTTTTGAAATACTTGCTCTCAAAGATCGGTCATTAGAACAAACATAGCGCTTGGTCAACCTTGTAGCTAGAAGAAAACTCAACGACTGTGAATGAGTCACTGGCGTCTAGGTGGTTTAATACACTGTTAAAAAATTCGGATTGAAATTTCATAACATGTTAATGTAATTATTATCACTTTTCTGTTATGAAATTTCATGGCGATTTTCTGCAATAAAATAAATTTCATTGCAGGAAATCACCATGAAATTTCATAGCAAAGTGTTGTGAAACTTCATTAAATTGTTAATGAAAATTCATATGCAAGTTTTGACATTTTCTTTCCAATTGTGGTATTGTATTTCATAAATAGGTGATGTAATCTCGACCGGTATCTTGACTCTTAGTTCAACACCAGCTCTAAAAATTGCAAGCGGGTTAAGTCCACCTTAGATCTTAACCTGGAGTGTAACTCAGTGAGATGAGTTGGTTGCAACTTGTACCACAACTACGAGGAAGCTCTCGCTGGACCTAACCCAATGGCCGGCTGTAGGCGCCAGCGAGTCGCAACATGGTTCTGCGTTTTTCTCGACTTCAGAGTAATATTTTGTTTAACACTTTTAGCATACGTCTAGAGTAGATATTCACTTAGGTAACTAAGGATAAACTTTTGAAAAAAATATTGATTTTACTTAAATGAATAGGCAAAACTTACAAGTGAACGAACACGGCACTCCGAGCGCCACCTAGCGGCAGCTTCTTGAAACCTGACTTTGAGCCCAGGTGGCTGACAGGCCGCACCATGTGAGCAGTGGATTGACCACAGTTTGCGTTAAATTATAATAAAAATTCTTTTTTGGTGCGACGTTTGATTTACTATACTCATATTATCACGCTACATTTACTCAGGGAGGAGCATAGGAATATTCCGAATCACGATTAGGTTCAAACTCAGTCAAACCTGAAGTTCCTTCCACCCGGGCAATGTGCACTGTTAAAAAATGGTTGTACAGAAATAATCAGATGAGTGAAAATTTAGTCGTTCCAAAACATAGAATTTCATAATGAACCAAAGCGAAACAAATGTCGTTGAGTCTAGTAAGCGACATTTTGTCGTTGAAGGACAAAATTCTTGTTATCACTCTTTACGATACAATTTGTGTGGAAACAACATCTTTTACAATTATCTGCTCAATTAAAGTAAATTATGAATAATCATCTATTTTGTTCTTCTAAGTCATAGGGAAATTACTAATGTTTAAAAAACCATGCTAAATAAATTTAGCGACAAAAGTACTCTATGAATATTGTCGCAGACATTACAAAATACCTTTTGGACTTTCAATACTTGTCGTTGATGTGTTATTGTTGGTGCGTTATTACAATTTAGTCGTTGTGAAATTATCCCTTAGTTCCAATACGACTACGGTTTAACAAGCTATTTATTCCACAACAAATCTTGTCGCTAAAAAAGTTAGCGATAAATGTGTCGCTAAGTTACGACAAAATTTTTATCAGTGTAAGAGCCATCAAAACCTGCCCATCACAAGTCAAAGACCGAAATGAAATTTTATATCTTGGTTATAAATTTTCAGAACCACACTAAATTTGTAGTTTCACGTTTTGACTTTTCATCAAATCTCTTGACGTTTCATTGCAGACTTGATTTTTCAAGGAGATATTTTAACGTTTCATGGAATGTGTTCTGACATTTCATTATATTTATGAAATTTTATGGCCGCTATGAAATTTAATGGCGTTCATGAATTTTCAATGCATATTTGTAATGAAAATTCATAACATTTTTAACAGTGTATTGACACGAGGGCATCCTTCAGCTGCTGAATCTTCACGCCACTCATTGAACCGCTGACGTCGAGAACGAACAGTGCGTGCTTGGGAATTGCTGACCACAAAGTCGGCGAGAAGAAATGAACGAAATAGTTGTTGTGCACCTGCAAGCAAATTGCGACAAGTGTCAAGCACGGATACAGAAGGGGGATGTGTGCGAGGGGTACCTCACTCGGACATTACTGATTGGTGACTAGACTGAATTTCCACTCTGATAAGACTGATAATCTCATGAAATGCGTCACAACAATGCTGCCAATAAGGCAAATTTTACGTTGTTCCGACTTATGAAGTGAAATAAGGCAGCGACTTGAGTGAGGGGCGTACACTGACTAGACGCAGTGAGGCACCCGTCGGATGTGTGTCCCGTATTTCGAGTTTCGTCTAAGATCACGTTGACTTGTATGGTGGCAAAGAAACCTGCCGAGGGCAGGCCACACCACCGGAGGTCATGTAACTGGCGCAGATTATAAGACAAGGTCTGGCGTTCACCTACATTGTATATGAACGCTACTTACGAACAATTGACCTGCAGGTGCAGGGCTCAGGACGTCGTAGGAAATGGCCAGATAGCCATTCAACCCAGCCTCTGGATTCTCTTGGAAAAGTTCTGCCATCTGAATTTGTTCAGTGACCGTAGGTATATACTGAACTTCTGCTTCACCGCCAGACCACTTCAGGATGGACGCTTTAATGGCAGAAGCTGAAAACGCACGTATGTATCAATAGTGATAAAATGACTCATCACAGCAACCATTTTAGTCCTTGACTCTACGAATAGTATTATGGCACCAAGAGTCAATCGTACCCGAAGTGATGTCGTTTGTGAAAGGTTTCAAATCTAAAGCTGTGATCTCCGTGGGCTCGGTGATTCGTATGCGTACCTCAAGATGAGGCACTACCTAGAAAACGAGCAAAGCGTTGAAATATGTGCTTATTGCGTGGTTTACGGGAGCAGTAAGTAGCGCCATTATTTTGAATTATCTTTTTTTTTGTGTATTATCTTGGTTTTATATTTTGACAACCCTCAAAGAATCTGACAAGCTTTTGCAAAATTCACAACCGTCTAGCCACCAGAGTAATTTATGTAAATTTATTTGCACAGAGCTTAGGTGAGTTCCATCCTTTAGGCCTTTTTTCCCCCTCAATGTTACATTTTCAGAGCTTGCGCGCAGGATTTTGAGAGAACGGTTTGAGATATCGTCTTGAAAATTTAGCAGGCGTTAGTACTATTGAGGTCCCTCCAAAATGACCCTTGGGTTTCGGGATTGAAGATTGAAGTGATTTAACGCCTTTTGAGAAACTTTGCATTGACAAATTTTAACGTGTTTTTCGTGTTTCACAAAAGTTGAGTTATAAAATGCTTCCCCATATTATTCCTCAAAGCTTGAGGGTCATATTTACTGCTCAAGTATGTACAGCAAGTGGAAAAATTTAGGTTGGAAAACTTCTAGCGGGGAATGAGTAGCTCTGCGCGCAGTGATATTGTGATATTATTAGGCAAATATGTTGTGTTGTCTCGTGCCCTGCACACACTTCACAAATTTGACCGTACTTAGTTCAACCACTTTTTTCTCAAAATCATGCTTAAAGAACCCTCTTTTCATTGATAGTAAGCGGTTCTTTCTTGGATGAACAGAAAGGACTCTGTAATGCAGGAACATCGTCAAAATTTGACCCCAAAAAAGGTGTAAATGGCGCCACTGCCCCCGTAAGGCCTTTTACATGTTGTACAAACACTTCAGGTTGAACATCAGTTACAATATTCATTTGATGTGGTGGTTTGGGTTTGCACATTCATTTTTTGTCACCGAAAATACTTCTTTCTGATGGTAGCATGTTCCTTGACGACATGAAACATAGTCACTTTTCCATTTTATAAAGGAAAGCTAAAATTTCATCTTGCGTGGGAGGTTTCTTTGACATTTAGTGAGACCGGGCCTTTGATAATTTGGAACGCTTCACTTCAACCACCATGGTTCAAACCTAAAATATGGACCAAAAACTTAAAACAGCCTGAGAAAAAAAAAAATCAAACAGAAATAAGGTGGTGAAGCAAAAGTTAAAATTTTGTTTTTGATTGTTTTCACACAGGTTGTTTTGAGTTTTGGTCCACATTTTTGGTATGGACCATAGAGGTTGTTGAAGAGATGCGTTCCAGTTCTCTTTGACGTCTGCTCTCAGTTTATATTGAAGACACTTCTACATCTTGGTCAGGTTGAAAACTTCGAAATGATGTGCACATCATGTTCGTATGAATATTTTATGAGACGTTCAAACTGACCTAACCTTGACGTAAGGCCTTACGAGATCACAGCCTTCAAGATTATCTTATTTTTGTCTACAAAGACGCAGTCAAATCCCAGGGAGTTCTAACGAGGAACCGAGAGATCGAATTTGCGCCTGTTTCAGCGTAAGTCAAACGCGGTACCTGCATGCACGTACCTGGCCTGGCGAGATGTGCACTTTGTGCGTATACTCTGACATTTGTTTGGTAAGCAGTTCCTCGTAGGTCAGACTGAAGACAACGTTGGAGCGAGCCGCCAGAGTCAACCGAACCCCAAACTGTGTGGCATCTCTAACACTGTGTCCGATGGGCATGAAAAGAAAGAATTTCGCATAATTTTGGCTTTTCGCAAAACGCCCGTCCAAAATGCACTCACCTTATTCCTGCGGACGTTGGTGTCGGTGTGTTAATAACTTGACCCTCTTTCTGAATTGGGCGGGAGAAGTATTGTACTCCATTTAAGGTCCTGAAAATGAAATAAATGTTCGGTACCGTACATATGGTTATTGACCTTGCCATTTCCAGCCTGAGGGTGATTCCACGCCAAGCTCCTGCGGAGAACTATGTGAGATCCTACGGAAAATACTGTAAGGTCCTACGGACAATATTGATAAGAGGGCTACGGAGAAACTAAAAATAAACATAATTTTTCATAATAGCTTTTTGCCACAGTGGCTGCTATTTATCAGAACTTACGTACAGGGAAACTGTCGAGACCACAGCTGTCTCCGGAATCACAAATGTGAAGTTGAAGAGTCTAGGAGAAGATGCGTCATTCTGCACCGTACTCGAGACTTTAGTGCGGGCGTAGCGCGTCTGAATGAGCGAGTCGAAGATCAGGCTGGTCATTTGGACATCATCAGACGTCTGTGGACACAATCAGCAACTTTAATACAATGAAAATTCAAATCTTATCGGCAGTTTTGGCCGAATCCGCGACATGTTCATACGTTTTTAAGTCCTGACATGCGTTTGAAAATTCCTATCGTCAACGGTTTGACGTCAGAGCGCAATAATACGGTTATCAACAAATTTAATACCATAAATAATGCGTTAATGAATAACCTGCAGGCCTTTAAAGGCTGGCGTGAGCCCTTGAACGCTTCACGAAGGACGTGAAAACTTTACTCTCAGACCCATAAATAATCTTTTTCCCTTGCTTATGAAGTTTTTAGATCGGACGTAAAATACACTATTTACTCTTCAATTGTGCACAATTTTAATAGGTTTTAGGATAAACCCTTGTAAAAAAGATTGAGTCCGAAAACCGGCCGTAGCGGACAGTCCGTAATGTGGATGGCGGACAGTCCGGAAAGCTGCAGCGGACAGTTCCAGAATCGGGTCGAAATATTGAAAATCCGCGCGATTTCGGACTGCCCGTGACAATCGTGCGGTAGTATTTCGGACTGTCCGAACAGGATCCACCCCCCCCCCTTTTCCCCCGAATACAGCCTGCCCCCGTCCACCATCCCCCCTAAACCCCCGGCACTCCCCTTCCACCTCCCTCTCCTTCCCCTCCTCACCTCATCTTCCTTGTGCAGAAGCTCTGAAGCGCGCTGGGGTGTATTGGGAAAATGGTTTTAACCAAGGTTTGGGTTAGTTTTGAGATCAGCAAAACATAATTTTCCTGACCAGCTACACATGAAGGACACAAATTACTGTAACAACAAGTAACAGAAAGGCCTGTGTTCTAAAACTTTGTTGGTGAAACTGATTTCCTGCTACTCTCAATAAATCCGAACGTTGTAACAACTGACATTCTAACAACGTCGTGCACACTTGGTTGAAGTATTTCTAAAGGAAGCGGTTTCCCAGATAAAGTTCGTGACGGGAAAAAAAACGTAACCCAAATTCACGTATCACAAGTATTGAACCAGCAGTGCGATCTAATATCCGATGAAGGCACTTTGGGGACGAGTGTGAACGGGGAGAGGCGAATAAAATAATACACCTCTCACCCTCTCACGGCCCGTCCCGTTAGTGTTGGGAGATGCTTGCAGCAAGCGCGGAGTCACTGGCGTTCCGACCAGCAGCGAACACACCCCACTGAACCACATTTTCCGTCAAACTGCCTCGTTCGCAGCGCGCGGCTGCAGCGCATGGAACCAACATGCACTCAGCGCAGCGCGCGGAGCGAGAGGACAGAGCGCCGCAGGCAAAGCGCGATGCGTGCACCTTGGAGGACGGCTGGAGACTGACGTTTGGCGTCCCGGCCGAGGCGGCCAAAACTTTCCGAGTTGCCGAAGGATTAACGCTCCCCTCCTCGACGACCAATCAGAGAGCTCCTCTTGCCAGCCCGGCCGGCGGGCCTTTCCGCGAATGCATAGGCAGGGACACTCCGGATCGGTGCCGATCGGACTCTGCCGGACAGTCCGAGACGCAAAGCCACCCTGCGGCCAAGGCCGGAACTGCCCGCTCCGGACTCGGACTCACTACGGCCAAGTCCGAAGGTAAAAAGGAACTGTCCGAGGCGAAAGGAAGATTCTGGAACCGTCCTAGCCAGATTTCGGAACTCATCTGTTCCACAAGGGAAATTGTCACTAGATCATGTGCAAATTAAGAAGTACATTGCAAATGACAAAAAGTCAGGTTTAATGGACTAATACCCTATATAATGAACACAATCATGCAAAGCCAATGACAAAATAGTACACATTAGGAGTGCACAAAATCTATTAGCCAAAAGATACGAAGTCAAAACAAGGCTGAGAGTGTATACGGTCCACAAAAAGCGTAAAACTGCGTTTTTTAGGGGTTCCCAAGAACCCCTATTGTCCGAGGTCCGTGGATTCCTTCCCCCCCTCTCCGATTTTCAAATAAATTGCGCTAAACTATTTCAACCATGGAGAAAACGAAAATTCTATTTTTTTTTTTCGAAAATTCATCGTGGAAATTTTCCGTAAACTAGAAAAACATAAATTTGCAACAATCGAAAACGAGAACCGTTAATGATATGAAAAAATGGTTCAGATAAAAAATGAGCCACTCCTAAAAACTAAACCTCCTGGCTCATCAAAGTAACAAGAAATCGTCTGTGTTCTGAGCAAATGGTTAAAACATGAAAAAAAAATCTCCATGGCAACGGCATGGTCCCATCGTACCACCCGTCAAAATTCAAAGTCACCGATAAAGAGAAATCAAAACGCCGTGAAATTCGAAAATGCTAATGCTAACGCATTGCACGGTGTCCCGACGTTGGAACATATTTAAAGTCTGTCACTAGTAAAAAGTTCGTAGCAGAAACGACGCATCAAATTAATTTTCGTGGGTTGGCACCGATTTGCTTGCCGTCTGCGCCCTTTCGAAAATCGCGAGGCTGAAAAAACGAGTAGGCGCGCATTGAAACTGCCCCTCCATTGTTGCTGAGGTTGGATTGTTTGGCATGCTTTTAAAGGCTGCGGTTGTCTTGTCATGTTTTCCTCAATTCTGTGGAACAGTACTCACAACGTAAAAACAGCACGATGGTTGGTTTGACAAACTTTATGAACTCGGGAGGGGTGATTTCGGAACGCGGGTGACTTTCGTATTGCGAACATGAGCACTGTAAGTCGCGAGATGGAGTGAGGTGGTCATGGTGTTAACTGAATCAGGTTTGACCAGAACTCTTTTCTACTGGTTAGTTTGAATTTAGCGCATGCGCACTTTGAAATTTTTGGATTTTCTCTTTATCATTGAGCAGTTGACGCTGGCACGGTCCAATACATGGCTATTTCAAAATAGCCAAATGTGAAAATGGGAACACCTTGCAATGCGATTAGCATTGGAATTTTTTTTTTTTTTTGCGAGTGTACAGCGCTTGCATGTAGCAGTGCAAGCCTCATGCTTTGCCAATGCAGCAGTTTGAAAGCATAACTTACCACTGGATCGTCACATTGTCCCTGCTCGTACACTGATAGGCCGCTTCCTTCACCGCAAATAAAAAAGCGAGCTCCGCAGGCCGGCGTCGGTGTTGTCGACCGCCAAGAAGGTGTGGATCCTGAACACGAATGATTTACAACATTACAAAGAACCGTTTTTATCTGTACGTGTGTGTTGCTATGTGTGTTGCAGGATCTTTAAAGCAATTAAAAATGCTGACAGCTAAGGAAAGTCCATTCAAAACGGCTCTCTATGAAGAAGAAAGTTACGCCGAAAAACGGCATGACAGGTGAGTCACGCTGATATCTGGCGTCAATGTACCTTGTGGATTGGTGCTTTCAAGGCGTTCCATCGGAAAAGTCATACCTGAAACCGGCATGATTGAGTCTGCCCGAAAAATCGGCCTGACTTCTGTCACGCCGGTGTCTGAAATGACTTTTCTGTCATGCCACTTTTCGGCGTGACATCTTATTCAGCCCTAGTTTGACGGCACGAAGTCACGTCGATATATATTATTTTCAGTGTGCTATCGAGAAAGGTTAGCTTAATCTTGATGGACGTTACACGCTGAACACGATAGTTGCGTCGCATTTGGCCTAGGTGCAGTAAAACTACGAGTTAACCTTAGGAGGGGAATATCCCGGGAATACCCGCTGATGTGCGGGAGACAGATTATGAGATCCTTCGCGGGTTCGGCACCTCTCCCCACCACGGCTGGTGCACGGCTCCGCGGTTGTGCGCGCGTTACGGCGTGAGCCGTGTTTTACAGATACACTCTAAATATGGGGTGCCCAGAAACTGGGCGCCTTTGTCGCCCGCCCCACTTTTTAGGGTGCCAAATGTCGCCCAGTTCCTGGGCACCTTTGTCACCCAGTCACGGGGTGGACAAACCATTAAGAAACCTGCCTTCACCCATGGCTCAGCAGCGACTAAGGTGCCAAAGGTGCCCAGAATCTGGGCACCTCAGTCGCCCAGGAACTAGACACCTGTGCATGCTATACCATGGGAGAGGGCCGGTTACTGTATGATTTGTCCACCCCGAGACTGGGCGACAAAGGTGCCCAGAAACTGGGCGACATTTAACACCCTAAAAAGTGGGGCGGGCGACAAAGGCGCCCAGTTGCTGGGCACCCCATATTTAGAGTGTAGTCCTTCGTCCTTCCAGCTCATTCCTCTCCCTGCTAGCGGGTTTGCCAACTTGATTGCTTAACATTTTTGCCTACCTAGCTGACATTCCTTGAGCGAACCCAAAAAGCTGAATATAGGATATAAAAATTCTAAACCTAGTTTAGGCCCGCGGGCAAAATAGAAAAACTTAGCGTAGTAAGAGTGTTTACATGTTTGTAACATCTGATAAATAAAAACCTTTTAAAATCTGAAAATAAGGTTGGATCTCAATGGTTTTCAACCCATTCCTTATGGGGACACGACCCATTCCTTAGGGGTTTCAACCGGGTTAAAACCCATAGCCGAATGGGTTATGTCTCCTATGAGTTCCGCGGAACATAACGTGGTCAGAACCCCGTGATCCGGATTGAATGGTCTAGCATCAACTTCGCTTATTTTCGCGGCCGCTGCATCGCACACTGTTAAAAATTATTGTGAATTTACGAAATTTTTTTACAAACTCCCTGTAAAGTAACAATAACATTTCGTTATTTTATGAAATTTATTTGTAGAGGCCGTTTTATGAATTATTCATCACAGAAATCTTCTTAATTTTATGAAATTTGTTTGTGAACACCGCCCGATGAAATGGTACGAACGAAATACATCTCAAACGTGACGATAATACTACAGCAAGGTCACAAAAATATGAAAAGTTTACTAAAATTACAACAAATGCATTGGTAATTCCGTTGCACAAATCACTTGTAAAATTACGAGATATGGTGATGCCTTCATCATTTTACAAGATGTTTCATAAAACAAAACAAAAACGCTAAAATAAGTTTATCTCCATTTAATCAGCGTGACAAGGCAGAACAAAAGCGGTCCACGTAATTTGGAGCGTGTAAAAAGTTTGTGATTTTACAAACTACTGCGTGAAAAATAATTCATAAATCGTTAAGAAACAAAAAATCGTTGTAAATTTACAAATAATTTGTGCAACGAAATTACCCATAAATTGTTTGTAAATTTACGAACTAATTTTTTGGCTGAGCGTTAGCGAAGCCCTTGCCGTGTTTGGGCGCGCTGAAAAGTGACTGGTCGTGCGTCTGTCTGTCTGTGAGTCTGTTTGTACTCACCAACGATTCTCAGCAACTACAGTGGCTATAGTTTCAAGATTTCGTATTTAACGTCGCCTTAGTACCCCCCAACACGAGTTTGTTTCAAATCGTTGTTTAGTATCGTTTGAAATATTCAAAACATATTTTGAATCAGGTCATTAGCGTGGTTAGGTTGGCAGCGCGGCAGCGCTTACCAATTTCTCATCCCTGGGGGGTCCGCGGCTCTCAAATACGGGACTTAAGCAAATAAGCAAAAAAAACGAAATAAAGAGCAGAAGGGTTTAGAAATGAGATCGGCCTTAGTTTTTCAACATTCTGAATGATTAAAACCATTTTGGAACACCAACACAGCGAAATAGGGAAAAAGGGGATTCGAAAATGATTTACGTGTTTCGTTCCCCTCCCCCCCTCCCCTGTCAGAGGGGAATCATCTTCAGGTCAGTGCACTTTGACAAAGCTTTGTAAAAAGGATGTTTTTATTTTCCCTTTTTGTATTGTGTGCATCTTCTTATTTCATTCTAGTGTCATCCTTTTTTTAAAATTTTCAAACTAGAGGAAATTAGGGAAATGCATAAATAACTTGTGTTGAAATTGGCAGGCATACTTAGTTTGGACTCGAGAAATTCATTCTATTGCAATGCTGCAAGCTGACAAGAGTCCAAAAGTACTAACATGAGTTTTTTAATAGAATCAATATATGGTTGTGTATATTTAATCCTAATGGAGTTTGAATTGATGTTGGTTTCAAAGAGACGACTCAGGTTTTGAGCGGTGAGTGAATTGGTGATTGGATTTAGTGAGACGATTCCTTTAACTTCACCGAAGTTAATGTAACTGGTACTACTCAGTAATGTTTACATGAGTAAGATAAATTATGTCGGTTCATTAAGCCTTGGGTAGCCTTGGCATTGGACTCTATGTGACGAATCACTGGATTTGACAATAATTTGTCCCCGTTAACTGGTTTAGATCAGCCTACCCTAAACTGACTCTTTAATATTTACTGTGATAACATTTTCCCAACCAATATTGTTTTATTCACTGGTTCACAATGAAAGAATAACAAAATGTTTCATAAATATAATTTATACAATTGTGAGTTCATTATTTAAAGGGAAAAAAGAGTTATCGAATAGTGACCCAAGCATACGAGTAGCCAATTAAGCGATTCAATGTTGGCAATTGAATTTTACTCGACTGAGGGATTCGCTTTGGTGTGGCATCAGGGAATTTGGGGACGACAGAGGGTGCTTCATGAAGACAAATAGGAACAATATACAGAAATTGAGTTTTAAGTATTGTATGTAGTTTGCAGTGTACTGGTCACAAAAAAATACATTTATTTCAATGCCAATCCTACATTTTCATCTAGAGCTACGCAATTTTGGGGGAAAAAATTTCCAAGTTGAGATTTATGTATTTCCCTGTAGTTTTCAGTGCGCTGACCTCAATATTGACATCTTAATTGTCCCCTAACCCCCGATTTTTGGTTAAATTTTTTGAAATGAATTGTACAGTGATTCTTGCAGTTTTTTGAGTGCTGATAACGAAAATAACTCCCATTTTAACACCAGACCATATTTTCATCCCATATTAGATCATTTTGGGCCAAAAATTTCAAGTCAAATTTTATATTTTTTCCTGCAGTTTTTTGTGTGCTGAACTCGAAAATGACTTCCAAAATTTTTTCCCCGACTCACACTTACCCTAATTTTGACCAATTTTTTGGGCCCCAAAAAATTTTTAAAACGGTTTGACATTGATTCCAGCAGTTTTTGGGTGCTGATAAAAGAAAATCACTTTCATTTCGACTCCAGACTTATATTCTCATCGCAAATTAGATCATTTTGGACCAAAATTTTCATGTTGAGTTTTACATTATTTCCTGCAGTTTTTGGTGTGCTGAGCTCAAAAATGACCTTCAAACTTTTCCCAGACTCATATTTAACCGAATTTTGACCAAATTTTTGGGCCAAAATTTTTAAATCGAGTTTGACATTGATTCCAGCAGTTTTTTGGGGGTTTTGATGACGAAAAAACACTTCCATTTGTACCCCTGGTCTAAAGTTCACTGAAAATGAGCCCCTAAGATGGACACTTGTCAATCAAGCAAAGTCCCCAAAATGCACAAAAAATGTCAATTCGCATCGCTCAGCCACACTACGCGCCCAGACTGAACGGCGCGTACCCCTAGTTTACAGTGCAGAGTTTCATCCCACTCAGACCAAGTGTCAAGTGTCATACTAGCAAAAAAAGGATACGGGTGGGACGTATGGCGAAGTTGTTCATTCAGTCAAAGAAGTGTTTTTGACTAAATGAACAACTTCGGCAAAAGTATTTACGTGCGAAGTGTTTTCTCTTGCAACGTATACAATGGTCTCTAGAGAAACATACCAGCCTGAGAGGACGAACTAGATGCCTGTGGAGTACTAGATGATGATGATAACCTTGAGGAAAGAGCCGTTATAAATATTACTACAGAATACGTGAGCCACCTGCAACAAGAATTTCTTTTTTCAAAACAAGACTCACGCCTAGCACAAGTAGTGTCCGCTCCGGGTTTTCCTGGCTATCAAATCTCCAATGGCGTTTCCGTCTCGAAAAGTGACGTCGTGGAGGGGGCAGCAGAACAACCGATATATTTTTTATTTTTTTTTTAAACTCCGCTGCCTGGACCACCGTTAAAAGGCAGACCGGTTTAGCAGATGTATCCTACTACACTGTCAGAAATTTTGGCGTAAATTAGCGACAAAAACGTCGCTAATTTTCATAGCGACAGAAGTCGTTCTGAAACTACTTCGTCGTAACTGAACGACTAAAAAATCATTTCTCTACGACAATGTCGTAATCGCGATTACATATTTTGAAATCTGAAATCCCCGAACAGTTGATGAAAAGTTGCAATTTTGCTCGCTTATTTACGATTTGTGTCGTTCATTTACGATTAATTACACAAATTTCCGACAAGATTCGCAAATGTACGACTGAAGTCATAACTGCACGACATATTCCATAGATAAATTACGATCGTTCGTAAACTTACGATTAAGTTGTAAATTTACGACTTAGTTCGTTTCAAAACGGAACGTCTCGCTATCAAAATTAGCGACAAATATGTCGTAAATTTACGACTCAAGTTGTATATTTACGACTTGAGTCGTAACAAAATATGTCGTTTAAAAACGACATAATTGCTGTCGTAAATTTACGATTATTTTTAACAGTGTACTGTGGTCCAATAAAGAGCTGTGAAAAACTTTCAATCACGTCATAAGTGCTTGTTGGCTGCGGCAACTTTTTCTCTAAAAAGTTACAGCAAGAAATAATGATACAAATACATAAGTTTCTACGAAATGCTTTTTTTACGCAAAAATGGGTGGTTGTTACGAACGCAATAACTGAATTCTGCAGGGTGGGAATCGTAAACTCGGTTTTATCGCAAAAATTTGTAGTGAAAGTATCGGAAAATGATTAACAAGGTGCTGATAAAACTGCAGCGTGTATTACCCTCAGTTTGCGGGCACCACCCGTTCTAGTGTTACTTTGCCAATTCACACACACAATGTAAAATGCACGGGAGTATTTACAGTAATCTATGCTACATTTCAAACATAAAAGCTCCGCTGCAGTTTTATTTGCCAGTGGCGTGGGGAGTACTTTGTCTCACCCTGTAGATCAATAATTCAGTTATTGCATTCGCAACAACCACCCATTTTGGCGTTAAAAGAGCATTTTGTAGAAACTCGTGTCATTATTATTTGATCCAGGAAGCGGAAGAAGGGGAAAACTCAATTTTGGCCATTTTCCAGGAGAAACCAAAAATGAGAAGGAAAACTAAAAAAAAAACAAATGAATGTTGCAGATGTTAATAATTTCAAAAAGCATTAGTAAAATTTTTGGAAAAAAATCGAAAGTGTAAGGCACTCCGTAGAGGATTTCGCAAATTATCACTTTTCCCTTTAAAAAGGAAAACAGAGTCAGTTTACCTTATATTTTCCCAAACAAAGAGGAATTTGGGGACAAGTCAAGTGGAAAATAGTCTGCATAAAGTGTATGTTACTCTGGTGTATTTTTTTGGGCTTAGCTCTTTTTTCCCAAAATTTAAATTTAAAATTTAAGGGGGGGTTTAAATTGAGTTGATTCTTTTACACTAGATTCATAAAAATACAAGTTGAGTATATCCTTTTGCCAAATTTTTCAACGGACTCATGTGGACTTCCGTTTAGTTATCTCCATTTTTCCAAAGAAATTTAGACCGTAAAAGGGGTTTAAATTAGTTATACCCTTTTTCCATGTGGATTTTCTCCTAAACTGCTTGAAATTCAGTCAAATAATTTGGTGTAATGATGGGAACTATTCTAAGGCACAATAATAAAATAAAAACTCAATTTGGGGATAAGTCAAGTTATTCCCTTTTTCCGCTTCCTGGATCATTTCTTGTCATAACTTTTTATTGAAAAAGTTTCTGCAGCCAACAAGCAATTTTAACGTGATTG